TGTCTTCCCCTGGTAGAGAAGCAGGGCGCGAGCCCCATGGGTAGCACTTCAATTGAACAAGCACAGAATGGTCACTGGATGGGGTGATCAACAGTAAGTAACGAAAGTTCAACACCAACGATAACAACAGCAACAACAACAACAACCGCATCACCAACAGCAAAAACAACAACAACAACAACAACAACAACAACAACAACAACAACAACAACAGCAGCAGCAACCGCAACAACACAACAGCTACGACAACAGCAACAACCACAACACCAACAACCACAACACGGCAACAACAGCAATAACAGCAACAACCGCATCCACAGCTACGAAAATAGCATCATCAACAACAACAACAACAACAACAAGCACGACAACCACAACAACCACAACAACCACAACAGCAGCAATAACGAGGGTAGGGACCTTCCTGGACGCCCTTGGCGAGGGCGACGGCCAGAGCTCCCTTCCTTGGGGGGTAGGGACCTTCCCTGACGCACTTCCCCGTGGCGTCCCCCCCCCAACAACGACGACGACGACAACGACGACGACGACAACAACAACCAGCATGTTAAGACTGGTCGCTCTTACCTGCTCGCGTGTCACTCAACACGTATACCTCAAAACCTCGATGCCCGCCCTCTCCGTCTTCGACCGTACCCCCTTGGGGTTATATCTTCCTTACCTGCCACGTACCTGTAGCGCAGCCCTTAAGGCAGGGGAAAAGAGGGCGAATGGGGGAGGGGGAAGGATGGAGCACGAGAGAGATTAGCAGGGCACGGGAGCCAGGAGCAGAAAACACATGGCAGAGCCAGACGGGCTGATCGAGCGGGTAGGCCCTGCAACAAGAGGAGGGTCGGGAAGGCGGGCCAAGGCTGCCAGGTCGAGAAGGCGGGTTGCTGAAGCGTGCGTTCTGCATGGATCGCGAGGGTATCTCGACGGATAGTGAGATTCCCCAGTAAATAACGAAAAACCAAAAGCGAGAGCAATATTCCTGAGCGTCGAGGGCGCGGCGTTTGAATAAATTGCAAGTAAGTCCCACGCGGGAGCGCGAGTCTTGCATAAACTATGAGAAAGTCCTGCGCGAGAGCGCGAGTTCTAAATACATTGCGAGGACATATCAAGCGGGAGCTGTTGCTGTTGTTGTGAACTGGGGGCCGACAACACAATTTGGTGACACCTCGCTTCCCGTTGTAAAAAAAGGGTGCCAGACCCAGAGGGGCCTTCCATTGAAACATACAATGGTTACCAGAGGGGTGATCAACAATTCTTATTTTCTGGAAATGAGAACTCAACAACAACAACAACAGCAACAACAACAAGCACATCCACAACCACAACCACAACCACAACCACAACCACAACCACAACAACCAGCATTGTGATAAGACTGTTCGCTCTTATCTGATCGCGTGCCATTAAGAAATACCTCCCAAACCCTCGATACCCGCCCTCTTCGTCTTCGATCGCGCCCCCTTAGAACTGTATCTCTCTTACCTGCTACGTGTGATTCGTGCAGCCACTAAGGCAGGGGAAAAAGAACGAATGGAAGGAAGGGGCAAAGTGGAGGGAGGAAGATGGAGCACGAGAGAGACTAGCAGGGCACGGGAGCCAGGAGCAGAAAACACATGGCAGAGCCAGACGGGCTGATCGAGCGGGTAGGCCCTGCAACAAGAGGAGGGTCGGGAAGGCGGGCCAAGGCGGCCAGGTCGAGAAGGCGGGTTGCTGAAGCGTGAGTTCTGCATGGATCGCGAGGGTATCTCGACGGACAGTGAGATTCCCCAGTAAATAACGAAAAACCAAAAGCGAGAGCAATATTCCTGAGCGTCGAGACTAGCAGGAGAGGGGCTAGGAACAGAAAAACACATGGCAGAACCAGACGGGCATGTCGGGCGGGTGGACCCTAACAGGCGGGTCGGCAGGCGGGCCCAGGCGGCCAGGTCGAGCAGGCGGGTTGCCGAAGCGCGCGTCCTGCATGAATCGCGGGGAAGTCTCGGGAAGAGAGGACGGATGAAGGAAGGGACAAGGGGCAGAGAGGAGGATGGAGCACAAGAGAGCGAGTAGCAGGAGGGGGGCCTAGGAGCAGAATGCACGTGGCAGAACCAAACAGGCAGATCGGACGGATAGACCCTAACAAACGGGACCAGGCGGCCAGGGCGAGCAGGTGGGTTGCTGAAGCGCGCGTCCTGCATGAATATCGGGAAGTCTCGGGCGACAGCGCGATGGCCAAATAAAGCTTGAGGAAATCCACAGCGAGAGCGTGATTCCTGAGTGTCGAGGGCGCGGCGTCTGGATAAATTGCGAGGGACTCCCACGCGAGAACGCGATTCTGGCACAGATTGTGAGGCCCCGCGAGAGCGCGAATATCAAGAAAATGGCGCGGAAGTATCAGGCGGGAGCCGCTGCTGTTGTAAACTGGGGGCCAACAACACAGTTTGGTGACACCTCGCTTTCCCTTGTAAAATAACAAGGCGCGAGCCCCGGGAGAACCACCGCAATGAAACAAAACAACTGTTACAAGGGAAGGGGGATCAACAATGACTACTCTAAAAACGAAAATTCAAGCACCTCCATGTTTTTTACCTGTTTTCTCTTACCTGCTCGCATGCCATTCAGCACGTGCATCCCAAACCCTCGGCACCCGCCGTCTCCGCCTTCGATCGCAGCCCCCCCTCGGGGGCACATCTTCCCCACCTGCCGCGCGCAGTTGGCGCAGCCGCAAAAGCAGGGGGAGAGAGGACTGATGGAAAAGGGGAGAAGGATGGAGCACGAGAGTGGGTAGCAGGATGAGGGTTTTCTCTCTCTCTCTTTTTTTTTCTCTCTCTCTCTCTCTCTCTCTCTCTCTCTCTCTCTCTTTCTCTCACGCACAAACAAACACACACACACACACACAAACACACACACACACACACACACACACACACACACACACACACGCACACGCACACGCACACGCACACGCGCGCACACACACACACAAGC